TTTGATTCATTATTAGCTGACATAGGTGCTGTCTATGATGGTGCTCAACATATGGTTAGAGCCAAATAGGCTCACAATATGAGTCATTACAAATACTATGTGCCTAATCTGCATCAAAAGCTTGCAAGTTTAATTTTCCATTGGAATAAATACATTCTAAAAAATCCCTCCCTCACCTATGGTCATGAGCTTTGGGTAATGAAAAAAAAGAACGAGATTGTGGATACAAGCGGTCGAAATGATTTTCCTCCGCAGAGTGGCTGGGCTCTCCCTTAGAGATAGGGTGAGGAGCTCAGTCACGTGGGAGGAGCACAACCAGTTGAGGTGGCTCGGGCATCTCTTCCGGATGCCTCCTGGACGTCCTGGGGAGGTGCTCCGGGCACGTCCCACCGAGAGAAGACCCCAGGGAAGACCTAGGACACACTGGAGGGACTTGAGGTCCCCCCCGGACGAGCTGGAGGAAGTGTGTATGGATAGGGAAGTCTGGGCGTCTCTACTTTGACTGCTGCAGGACTGCTGACCTGGCAATGGATGAAGCAGAAGAAAATGGATGGATGGATGGAATATTAATACTCAAAGTATAAATACTGAAACTAATCCAATAGACAGGACCATTTATGACATTTTTTAAAGATTTTGATCTCGGAACTAGGATTGAACCTTGAAATGATTAATAAGGATGTGTGCTTTTTTTAGATTATCCCCATGGAATCATAAGGGCCTCTTAGCATCAAGTCTATTTCTAATAGTACCATAATCGAGTTTGTCATTTTAGTATCATGACAACACTACGTACAACTACAGTAATTCTTCAGTATTCTCACCCTCTCTCCTCTCATAGTCCAACCATCCAGGTGCTATGGGGAATGACCTCTGCAAATGAACAATGTGGCAAAAGCATAGAACCGCTCCAAAAGTCACTTACAGCAGCAAGAGCTACTTAGTCAAGGTCATTATTGTCTGTGTGCGCGCCTGAGTGTGTGTGTGTGCGCGTATGTGTATGATAGAGAGGAAGAGTGCCTGCATATGCACATGTACTGAGCCTGGAGGAGAGTGCAACAATGCCTGGGTTTTAAGCTGAACCAAAGTGCGGAGGAAACCATTACGAGTGGGACATAAGTGCTGACTTAGATGACTGTGGCTCTAAATCTGCTGCAGCTATTGTGAGGCGTCTGTGCTGCACAAAGCCATATGTTATTTCCTCCATGACTGGAATCCTACTCGCCACGCTCTGTGAAAATTAGAAAGAGCGTGATATTATTAGAATCAACAATGTGTAATGAATGTACACGCCAAATGGCCCCGTAGCACAAATGCTGTGGTGTACAAAACAAGACAAGCGTGAACAACTTCAGCAAGACTTCAGGAAAATGAGGAGATAAATCCTCCAGAGCTTTATTTGAGTGACTGAGGTTTGCTGAAATAAAGAAAATTGCAATTTTTCAAGTAGTATAATTTTCTCAGCAATAAAAATATATGGCCTTTATATGTGTAAAAAAAATTGTGACCATAATACTGCAGTACAACCCTATATTGTGGAATTGTATGCTTTTTGTACAACTTTGTATGACTTTTTAACATTGAATAGTTTTTGTGTTGCTCCTCAACTATGCAGATATTTGAGGAAAAAAACATCAAAAGTCTCCTGCTGTAATATCATACTACACAAATAGATAAATCATCTACAACAAACAATTCAAATATAAAATGTAGACCAGAACAAAAACAAAATCAGGTTTACTATTGAATTTTTGTTCCTGTGAAGAGTGCTCTTTTCTCCAAAGTGAAAAAAGTAAAGAATACTGTTTGGTCAGTCAAGTTGCATCCTCAATATAAGTTTTTAAGGTCACTGATATTCTGGCTATGGTCCCTTCCCTACTATCACATAGATAATACCATCTAAAATATAACTTGCGAATAAGTCATAAATAATTCCAGTAGGAAGACAGAGGAGTGGGTATGTCAATGGGTTCTAAAAAGTCATCAAAAAGAGTTGAAAAGACAGTTAAAACTTACTGTAAATGTCCCATGTATAGGTTTGTCCCAATAACTACTAAATTGACCAATCGTTCAATAATTGATGGAAGGACAGATTTTTGGGGTTCAATATTAATCAACTGTAAATCTATATAGGAAACACTTTACTGGGATTCATTTGCAACATCGTCAATGTTTTTGACAATTAATCAACATTCCATTTCAATTCAATACAATTTATTTTTGTATAGTCTTCTCTGAGGACAAAGTCAAATCAACAAATCAGAGAACCAAACAGTACAAACACAGAAAATGCAAAAATAACAAACACACTGGTTCATAAGGAGCGGAACGACCAAGCGATCTGCTCCCATAGTCAGACAGTACATAGATCCAAGACATTCCATACTTGTGCAAGTACTACAGGACTTCATGACAGCTTTTCCATTTTGCATTTTAATTTTTCCCAAGATTGACTTGTCAAGAAGTGATGCAAGACTGACCGGGGACAGCTTGAGGCGTTGCTGCCAATCTCTGACCATTAATCAATAAAACCACTGTTTCTACGCCCCTTATAAATTGTCTATTCATTTTGTTTCAAAGTTTACAGAATTTCAGTCCGTAACAACACTACAGTCCAATACCGATTATTTTGCGTTCAGCTCTGAAACACTCATATTTCCACATAGTCGCGCTTGAATCAAAAAACGCCATTAAATAATAAGTGGGGTGTTGCTGTGCCACTCGAGACTACCCAGGATTCTCATTGTATATCTGAATAAGGCCAGGCACACTCTCTCACCTCCCATGGGGCGACTTCATTCACAGGGGCGATCAAATGTTTAGGGGCTGAATGATGTGAGGTTGACTCCAGCAGCTCTGAGCCCTCGGCGAAAAGAGGGGAAAACGTGGGGAAGACAAAAGCGCAGGAAGAGAGGGAGAGAGATAAGCAGCGTGTGTGAGCCTCTAACCAGCGGCTGACACTCCTCATCTGTTCTGTTGTGTCTGTAGCGCTGTGGGTTAGAACGAACACATCAAAACACTGGCACTGGGAGAGCGGGAGAGACAGGGAGAGGGAAAACAGGCCTGATTCGCATGAGGGCTGGAAACAACATGCATTACAAAGTGATTTGTGAAACACTTCCGGGTCCAGGCTAAAACTGTAGAAATTGTAAAGAAACTTACATTTTACACTAGAGTTACCATATCCATGGAACTAACATCATTCTTTATGACACAGAGAGGTTCTATTCGGATCAAATTTGCCATTCTAAACCCCCCTTTGACGTGGCGAGGTTCTAGAGCTATCAAAAGTGATTGGAGTGAAGGATCTTTACAAGAGCCGTTGATCAAATTGTCAAAGAACTGGTGCAAATATTCTCTGGAAGACAACAGAGCACTTTACACAAAGGATAGAAATGCCGGATGAAAAGCAAAAAGGGGAGCATCCCTGAATGGACTCTGTGAACCATCAGTGAAACGGGTCAGAGGGTGAAAAGATGTTGGGTGAATTTGACCGACTCAAAAAACAAGTGGTCAATGAACACCAGCAGAGAAACAAATCAGAGAAAAAGATGGACACAGCACTTGTGATGCTGAAGCTGGCTGAAGCTGTGAAGCCAAAGCTTGAAAATGCTATGAAAATGACTCCTTTGTATGCTGCCCTTCCTCCGCTCTGATAAGACCTCTGCCTCCCTGGGGGAGGCGGCCCAAGAAGTGATAAAACTCTCACAGCTCCATTTTGACCCTCTCTTCCAAAGAAGGCTGCGTGGGGAGAACATCACCTCTATGCTATCCAGGTCGGGTCTATCGGCCCTCTATTTTCCCCTGGAGGGCCGAGAGGCCCGACCGTCTGTACTCAACAGTCAAACCTCAGCTCCAGGTTTGAGAGGACTTCCTCAACTCTTCAATAGCCTCCAGCTTTGACATGGAGAAGTTGCTGGACTGTGGCTCCCAGACGTTGGATCGTGGAGAGGCTTGGCTTAGCCACGTGATGCAGCTGCATGGTCCAGGAACAAGGGCTGGCCTCCATTCATCGCCATCGAACATCCTGGTTGTAAGCTCTGCTCCACACAGTTGTTGGCCTTCTAAAACCTACATTTCAAACTAAGTACACTTAGTCTCTTATAAAGGTTGCAAACACAGGCAAGCCTCAGCCTACCAATCCACTCATGGACACTTCGGTCTTGCTTAAGCCTCATCTCACCTTAGCCATAGCATTTTAACCATGTGTCTTACAATCAACGTTTTCTTCATGTTTTTCTTGACAATTTCCATATTTCATATCTAATTTGTATTGTACATACTGCAATTAATCTACAAAACCATCTTTGTCTGAAAGTGAAATTTGTGCTGATTTAACTCCAGAGATTGGGTCACTGATTTGTAAAAGAATTCATTACCTTCAGATTCTATTGAAAATAATTGGACTAACTAGCTAGTTAAATAATGCATTACTTATGATTACTGAATCAATAAATGATCCAAATATTGTATTTACTACATGATTGTTTTTGATCCAATTCTCCGATACCAAATAAAAAAGAGTGTGATATCGACTTCAATAACCCCTACAAGAGGCTCATAGCGACAGACAAGCAGAAGTCTACTAGAGCCCCTCAAGTCCCTAAAGTGGTGAACATTGTTCTAAAAGATGTGCAGGAATTGAGTGTCCAACAGTTTGAGAAAAGGCTTGAGGAGGTGAAGTTGAATTTGCTCTTGAAAACAAAGTAGATGAGATCTTTGCTCACGAGATCCAACACAACCGACAAGCCAAAGCAATGTATGACGTGGAGGCTGAATTGACACAAGTGAGAGAAGAGTGCTCAATGAGTCTGAGGAACTATGAATTGTGAAATAGAGAGTTTGACAAGCCAGGTCGCTGAACTCACAGACGTGACTGAGAAAATATAAGAAAACTCTGCAGCAGCAACAACAACAATGATGGCATTTTGAAAGACAAGTTCTCATCCTACAAACCGAGAAAGTTATGTCACAACTGCTAAAGACAGACAGGAAGTACAATGCTGCTGGAGAAGAATGCTCGATTGGAAGTTACTTTAGGGAATCTCAAGAAAGAACTGGAGGAGCTTTCAAAGAGATGTGTCAAACTGGATGGGCGACTGCAAGAAGAGGCTGAAGAGCAGAGCCTAATGCAGCAGGAAATCAAGGACAAAGACCAAGAGATGGACGTGATGAGAGATCTGATTGACAAGTCCAAGTACTGGGAGATCAAGCTAAACCTGCAAGCACAAGAAGTTCATGGCTAACTTAAAAGGGAAGAAGACGCCAACCGATTCCAGAACGAGTCACTGAACAAGCTGAAGCGAGAGCTGCCAGAAAAGGTCGCCATTTTGTCCAAAAATGTATTATGAACCTGACCAAATAGCACTTGGTTGCAAATACAATAGAGCCTCATTCACACTGCACAAAAACATGGGAATTTCGACCAAAAACTCCAGGTCGCCTCTTTCCTTCACTGAGCGATAGGAGCTGGTGTGAAAGAATGACTTGGCATCTGACCTCTGCTAACCTCGAGGTGCTTTGGAAAATGACAGCGTAACCAGCCGTGTAACAAGAGTGAAGATCTTACCATCAGAGCTTGGGCAGATGCACGCACTGATCTTTTCTTTGTAAAGTAGTTGTAGGTTTGAAAATGTTAATACTTAGATAGAGCAAAGCTGAGAAGCTCCTCCCTCTGCTGGAGATGTAACTCGCAAACAGGGACCTTAATACATATGCTTTTCTCATGCAGAGTTATTAAAGCCTATTGGGAGAAAATAACAACCAAATTAAGCGCTGCTCTACGAGTAGAGATCCACCCCACACCAACAGTATGTATTTTAAACCAGTTCACTGTGAAAGGGGAAAAAACTTCTAATACTGTAACATTTGTAAAAGTAGCCCTTACTGCAGCAAAGAGAGTTATCTTGAAGTACTGGAAGGCACCAGAGTGCCCCACATATACAGAGTGGTTCACAACAATGTCCGAGACTGCCTCCTATGAGAGGCTCATCTATAAAATAAATGGAAAATTAGAAACATTCAATGACACATGGGAACCCTTGTTCAAACAAATGTAAAAGCATCCCTAAAGCACCACAATGCAATCTAGACTGGCTGGGGGGTAGGGGAAAGCACAGGGGTGGAAAGAAAAAATAAATAAATACATAATAATAATAATAATAATAGTAAGAATAAGAATAAGAATAAGAAGAAATAAAATAAAAGGAAATAACATATACAATGTGGGGCAGTATAGGTCTCAGGACACTTTTGCATGTATTTATGTATTGGCTGTATGTAAGATATCATTATTTGTATTATGAACTTTTAAACACGCCATGTATACTTCAGCTTCTAATTGGAAAGGAATGAGTTAATGTAACAATAGCCAGACACATTTTGTTTGTTTGCATGATTGCACATGCACCTTTATATGTGTAGATATGTGTGCATGTATATGTATATGTATGGGTGTATATGCATGGGTGTGTATAGGTGTACCTGTATGTGCATGGGTATGTGTGTGTGTGTGTGTGTGTATGCGTATGTATGTATGTATGTATGTATGCATATGGAGGTGTGTGTATGTATATGTGTATGTATGTATGTATGTGTATGTATGTGTATATGTGTATATATGTGCATGTATGTATATGTGTATGTGTATATACATGTATGTATGTATGTATGTGTATATATATGTGTATGTATATATATATGTGTGTATGTGCGTGTGTATGCGTGTGTGTATATATATATTTATAGGTGTGTGTGTGCATGTATGTGTATGCATGTATGTATGTGCCCATGTAACCATGTGTGGGTATGCGCTTATGTGTATATGTATATATGTATAACAAATCTTTCATTTTATCCATCCTTTCTTTTTGGTTATATATATATATATATATATTTTTTTTTTATTTTTTTATTCCTTATTTATCATTATCTTGCGTGGCTACATCTTGACTGAGACCTGAATGCAAGAATACTGTATACTACCTTTCATAATAATAAAAAAAAAAAGAAAAAAAAAAAAAAGAAAATGTTAATACTTCACGTACGACACGTGGATGATTAAATTCCCGTAGTCCATTATATTGCAATTCTCTCTGGTCCAAGGTGCACTGCGATGTGACTTTAGAAGCTAACTTCATCTTTGTCCTAGAAAATTATAAAGCTAAGAACGGCTCAAATCCAGGAAAAGATGTTAGCCCCTGTACAAGCCTGGTTAACTTAAGTGGCCCTATTACTCAAAAGTTTGGACACCTTTTCTTTATTGGAAAGTGGCTTTTGCCAGATGGTCAAATTATCTGCTTTACAACTGTGTGCTTTCAATCCGACCTTCCTGGATTTAAAAGTTAATACAGCATGTAATTCCCCACTTCTACCTCTAGATGACAGTGTTGGCAAATTGGAACATTCTAGTCATCTGTTACTTCCTTTTGATCCACAAATTGTGTATCTTTTCTATTGTTTGCATCTGACCACAGAAACCTGTTATATTCGGCTATGTCCTATCAACTGGAGGCAATTGCATCCTCAAGTTTGGGCAATGGCGCCACCCTCTGAAACAACTACTTTGACTTTTTTTCATGTCCAGTGTGCAGGTCCAAACACATGGACGATAAACCACAAAGGACAGCGTTACTTTTTTATCCATATAACAACAAGAATGTCTATATAACTTACACATTACAAGGATATTATGTATTTTTGAATGTGATCTAGAATTTAACATGTTGAACATTGTCAGAAACATCCTGAAACAAGTGAGGAGAAGTAAAAAGCTAAACACCCTTTTCTCTCATTCTCCTTGTGTATACATCCCCCCTATCCAAAACACTGCTTATAGTCGCCTCTCAGAAGTAGCAGTCGGGGAGTTGGGAGCACAAAGCGGGAGACAGAAGAGATAAAAGGCGTTTCCTGGTTCCTCTGTGCTGTCAGATGGAGCAGACAGCCAGTCAAGACGAGAAGAGGAGTTTCCTGCTGGATGAACGGACTCAGCGGCTGTCGTCTGCGTGGCCCAGACTGAAGATGAGGCTCAGACTAGACGGGGAGCTTTCCATAGTAAGATCATTGTGACCAAAAACAAAATGGTATATTGTGGAAGTCCCAATAAATTTTCCATGATGTGAAAACTAAACTATAAATGATTGTGTTATTATAGTGTGTTAAATCATAATATGAGGCATTCCTGAGGTATAGACCTTCAGAAAATGTTAAATGTATTTACTATTTTTCTCAAAGTGTGCTACTCACAAGCGCTAAACCGATTTTTGGTTAATTAGAAAAGGCTGGAATTTTCTCTCAAAATGTAAAAATGTGCACAGCTCACAACCGAATGTTGTGGTGGTATTACACCAATGTTTAGCCAATATTCAAAATGGGCTAAAATCAGATCAGAAAATCGAATAGCTGAGAAGACATGGCATTTCAAAAGGCAAAATTGCGGCAAAGAGGCCACATACGCCCCTTGGTACCTTCCCAGCTGTCAATCTCATACTTAAAAAAATAATAATCACTGTATATTGCAAATCATCAGCCCCTTTTAATCAGCGCCAATGCCTGGAAAAAGGGATTGACTTTAGCAGATTTTCTTCTCCAGGTGGTGGAACGGTCCTTCCTCAAGAAGTTGGTTCAAGTATCAAGTCTCAAGGCTCTTGTTCACAGTAAGGGAAGGATGGAGCATAAGATTGACATGTATGCAAAGATACGGTCGCCTTATCGGACTGTTGTGGCGAAGAGGGAGCTGAGTTGAATAGCAAACCTCTCCATTTACCAGTCAGTCTACGCTCACTTCATCTATGGTCATGAGCTTTAGGTAATAACCGAAAGGGAGAGATCGCAGATACGAGCGGTCAAAGTGAGTTTCCTCCTCAGAATGGCTGGCAGTGGGCCATCACACTGCTTCTCCACGTCGAGGGGAGCCAGTTGAGGGCTGTACGCCTCACTGGGGAGTTGTTCCAGGCATGCCACGCTGCAAGGTTGGATACCAAGGACACCGTGGAGGGACGACGTCTCTTAGCTGGCCTGGGAACCCCTCAGTATACCCCCAGATGAGATGAAGAAAGGGTCTGTAAATGAAGTGCGTAATCCCATAAATAAAGCAGAAGGATATGGATACGTAGATGAATGGCATACAATTCAATGTCTCTTTTTAGAAGTCTTGAACACAAAAGAGCACAAAGAAATGAAATGCAAAATCTCCAGGAAATAATCATCTTTATCAAACATAGAGCTTCTGTGCCCACCTGTGTGAGAGACTGTGAGCATAACCGAGGCTAACCTTTGTCTGGGCCGTGTTTGTGTGCACTCTAATGGGCACAGCTTCAAACACACACCTCATATTTTATTTACTTTGATGGCCTTGATACATTGAATCATTAATAACATTACGACCCCCAAAACAATGTAAAAATATCAACATCCAGTAATATTATCACTTATTCATACAGGTAATTTTGTGTAATGAACCTACAAAGCTACACATGTATAGTCATAACTTCTGCCTTTTTCAATTATTATTCGTCTTTCTACTAATTTCACCACTCCTGTGTAAATTAGAGCCTTGGTCCACATTCACATGTTGGTCGCTATGCTAACTAACTACCTCCAACCAGAACTATCATTATAAACTTTTAAATCATTTCTGCATTTTTGTGAGTCAGGTGTTGAACTGTGTGACATTTTGGGAGCTGGCACAAAGAGATTCAGATCAATATGATACAATCAATTATGCATTTGCATGATATAAAGTGCGGCTGCCAACAATAATTCTGGAGTAATCCAACACCCAAACATTTGAAATATTGGAAACAAAAATCTTGTTTCTTTTCCTTCAGAATTCATCATCCTTTTATCATCCTTTTGTTCAACTCATAACAAATATGTCATATCAAGTCAATTGTTTCTGTATATAATGTATCTGGACTGGAATATATATAGTGGTTTGATAGAAGAGAATAAATGTATAAAGGACAGCAGTGGCTCAATTGTGCAAACCTTATTTTAAATTTCAGAATTGTGTTAAACTATAAAAACGAAGAAAAAGCCGTCTCTGCAACACTTAACAATGTTGTGTTGTTATTGGCTTTTTGACCAATCTTGCCTCCCTACAGCTGAATGTTCCCAGTATAGTCTGTGGTCTTTTATATGCATGTATAGTCAGAGTCTTCCTGTTGCACTGGAGGCTTGTATTGGAACTCGTGTGGCCCTCTCTGTGCCATTGTGTTTGCAGCTTTGTGCCTCTAAGCAGCTGAGAGCGTCTATAAATACCCGCGTGTAACATGTGGGGACTAACCCGTGCGTTCGTCCAATGTGTCCATATGTCTGTAGTGTGCGATTGTGAACACGGCTCTATTTGCCAACACTCACTTCCGCTCACTGTCTGTGCATTGTGCCCAGTTTTGTCTGCAGCGGCTGTGGGCATTTGGCCACTGTAGAGGACAAAGAACGAGAGACAATGATGGGACAATACAGGCTATATCTGTGGGAAAGGCACCTACACTGGACTTATAGAAGCAGCGGGGGTCTATGCATCATGGTGCAGGTTTGAGCTCATGCTGCGATAACTCTATCTACTGTATGTGATGCAGTAATCAAGCTATGCACAGCAGATATAACCTCTGGAAAATCCTTTGCTCTGTGAACAGTTATTCAAATTGAATCCTGAATAATTATAGCAATGGGTTGTATAGTCTACAATATATGGTTCCAGCACCATATTTATTGAAATACAGTTTATTATTGGTGCTTTATGTTTTGCCTGCTGGGTAGCCATTTGCCTGCATGAAAATGAAAATGCACATAAATGTAAAACTAGATTCAATCAAACAATCAACTTTTATTTGTAGAGCACCTTCACTACATAAGGCAACACAAAGTGCCCCACAACTCATCTCATCAGGCATAGATCATAAACACTAAAAATACAATTCAGATCAGAAGAAATATTGAAAAAAAAAAATCACACAAGTAATTCCAAATATTAAAACATTAAAATCACGCATGGGATTAAAATCATAGATAGCCACAGTGCAAAGATAGAATCAGTTTTTAATGCACAGCTAAACAGAATTGTTTTTCTTTCATTTAGTCTTTAAAATGGACATTTAGAAGGATTTTGGAAGATTTCGGATTTCAAACCTCAACACCCCTGCACATTGTAAAGCAGTGCATGCAGACAGTCCACAGGCCCCTCACGTCAGGTTTTTGTGGCAAACTCTTTACAACTGCGACCTTCAGTCTTTTGTCTTTTGGCAGCTTCAGGCATTGATTTGGAAAATAATTTACGTAGTGGACCTTTAACTGTACAGTCACATAAAGTTTAATAGAGTTATCCATTTAAAACGTTTAAATCTAATATTAGCCCATTTTAACATTGAATCAATGAGAGATTATCAATTCAGTTCAATTCAATGCAATTTATTCTTGTATAGCCGTATATCACAACAGTAGTTATCTTTACAAAATCAAAGAATCAAACAGTTCAGTAAAACAGAAAACAGATTGGTATTGGTCCATAAAGGGCAGATGACTAATGTCCATAAATGTTGTTGAATGTTGATTGTCCTGAAACATCAATGTCTGAAAAATATAAATTGTTATGACTGTATTATTTTGCTCTCATTGGGACAAGCCTACACCTTAAATGAAATGTATACAAGATAAAAATCAGTGTGCGTCTATCTTGCAGCCTCTTCGCCGACTCTGCTCCCCCCACCTTTCTTCTCAGGTGACCTCCACCGCGCAGAACGCCAACTGGCACTTGGACATGTTATATCCTGGATCTATAAGTCATTCTTTCTCAGTCGGTTCATCCATCTCCCTGTCTCAATAAGCCATCAGTGGTTTTGGTTTGGATCCAAATCAATCGTGTTCTGACGGTGACCCAAATCATCCGTCTCTCGCTGCCGTCTGCTTCCATCCCAGTGCCTTTCTAACCGTGGGAGTGAGGAGTCAGCTGCCAGCGAGCATCAGTCATGTTGTCAGGGCCGGTCTGCGGAGCTGCGTGGGCTCTAGAGGGCAACGACTACCTTTACAAGTGGTCTCACACGCACGCTTCTCATGATGGCCTTATAAGGCAGAAGAAGGTGTTAAAAAGGGTATAGATAATAATATTGCAACTGCTTTTATTATGGGCGCCATGTTGGTGCAGTGGTTAATGCTTGTGTTCCACAGCAAGAAGGACCTGGGTTCGATTCGATGTCTTCAAAGGTGGTTAGTCTTTGAGGTTAGTCTTAACGATGAAGTCATTCAGGAGGTGGATGAAACTAAATATTGGGGTGTTATCTTGGATAAACATCTGAAGTTTCAGAGTCAATTAAAGGGTGTTTGTAAGAAGTTCAAATCCAATCTTAATCGTTTTTGTTTCATCAGAAGAGAGCTACCTCACCATGCTGCTGTATTATATATGCATGCAATGGTCTTTTCATGTCTGTCCTATTGTGTCACAGCATGGTCTCAAACATCAGATTCTCTTGCAAGTAACCTCTCTGTATAAACAGACAATTATGATCATGGACAAGGAACCAATGAGATGGCATCACTGTGACATCATAGAGAAGCACACACTTTTTACTTTGTGTCACCTCTGTTCTCTGGGCTCATGCTGAAACGCATGTCTGCTCCCCGAGCCCCCACCAGAGCCTCGGTCAGTGGTGACATACTGTATCTGCTAAAAACTACAGACTAACATGACCATCTTCAGCAGAGAGCTCAAACAGTTAAGATCCAGACAGACTTGTTCTCACATGTAAATGATATTGTAATTCTTTAACATGTATTTTATCTTCTGTAATGTAAAAGCCCCTGTGGACTACTGGTGAAAATTATCACCTCTGCTATAGCAATTCATCTGCTTATTGTTATGTCCATATTAAATGAATAAATACATAAATTCCACTTCCAGACGGGGTCTTTTTGTACAGACTTTTCCCATGTCTGTGTAGATTTCTTCCAGGTGCTCCTACGTGTGTCTTTGTGAGGGTGACTGTGGGACGACGGATGCAAATTAACCCGTGGCCACAATAATTTACATGCACTGTCCCAACCAAATAAATAATAATTTTCTGCACTGGCTTACTGTGGCTCAGAGGATAGACTTTAAAGCAGCTGCATCAAAGTACATCCGTGAAATGTTAGCGTCAAATGAACCTCCTTGCCCTCCTGCTAGTCCGGACTAAGCATGAGGAGGCAGCATTTCAGATTCATGCAGCTGAAATCTGAAACAGTCTTGTGAAAATGTCAGACAGGCTCCTTCTCTGACAATGTAAAAGTCCAGGTTAGGTGAGTAAGAGTTAGTAAGCGTTGATATTCTTACTTCAGTGTAATGAACAAGATTCTGGAACATCAGAGGACAATCGAAAGCAGGACTCTTTGTATCAATATTCAGTGTAATTACTTTCACCACTGTATACTCAACAGCTGACACCTGCTCTCAGGCTAAATGTGCTTAGTATCTACTTATTCAAGCTTATTGTTTCTTTTATTGTGAGAACATTGTGCACATAAAGTCCAAAGTATCTCAATTCAGGCAGTTACAATAGGTTTGTGCATACTATAAGAAGTTCTGACTATTGCACTGTGAAGATTTAGGCAATCCCCAGCCCAAAAGCAAACCCTGTGAATACTGTATCTGTTCTTATTACAAATTAAACTCCCATTGTTTTTTAGGGGGAAATGCTCTTGCCAGGATCATTTCACTGTAAACAATAACAGTGTTTTCAGTTCAGAGAATATTCTGTAAGTCTATTCACCAAGCCATGAACTGAAGTCAGAAAGAAAAACATAACATTTTAGGTATTTAGGCATCCCACAGGATTGTTAATTCCTATGAGACAAATTTTACACTCAACTAAAACTGTTGCAGAGGGCGTGAAAATATGAAATATTTATAAGGCTTGAAGATACAGTTTGTCAAAAGATAAAACTGCTACAACAAGTAGCAGAAATGAGGATAGAGAAGCCATGGGATTTGTATTTACATTGTTTTTACATTTGGATAGAGTAGGCACAACCAGTTCTTTCACAAAGCGGCGCTGCCATGACAGCAACAATACACTATGTTAGTAAAGACACTGGGAATGGGAAGGTTTGAAATGTACACAATATGATAATGGTGACCAAAATACCACAGAATGGTGTGTCGAGGAGTACGTATTGCATCATGGAGGGTAACCAAAACAAAGCACTTTTTAAAGAATAAAAAGTGCTTGTCTTACTTCTCACCTGTGCAGACATTTGAGGAAACGCATATATTCAGGGCAAACAAAAAGAGAATATGTCTGTATGAGGGAATCAGGGAAGAAAGTGCAGAGAAGTTTCCCAAATCTAGCTTGAGAGAAGCCAAGTATATGGGGGAGAGAAGTAGATGTCCTACCCTATATCTGGATAGGGTATTACTAGCTTGGAGCTGAAGGACCCACGTGCTCAGGGGATTCTCGCAGTACTGCAGACTAAACAAGACTAAATTCATGTTGGCTACCCAGAAATTTTCCGCATAGAACTCAATGTACACTAAAACAGCTCAATCTCAGCTGACAGAGAACCTGCAGCTTTCATAGATCGGATTCCGATCTTATGATCGGAAAATCCGATCATAAGATCGGATTTTGTGGGGATTTTAAGCCTAGCGTACATCGACAGAGTAACTGGAGACAACTAGTTGCAAGGCGGCTTTTGGCAACTGAGAGTAGATGATGGGAGATGATCAGTTGCCGAAATCGGTCGTTGTGAGCGCTCTCCAGTTTCAGTCAGTGGCCTGTGTTCTACTTTTCGGCAAGTAGTTGTCCTCATATCCGGAGATATCACCCGATGTGCGCGCTCCTAATAGATCCATGGCGCGCTCCAACAAGATGTGTGTGTTGCGTGTAATGCGCGCCCTCTACAGTTTATGCCAGAAAACACACTGTAGTTGACGCCCAGTTGCTGTTGATGCGCTGTTATTCCAGAGACTTGCCTGCCACTAGGAGTTGCCCGTTTTCGCCAGATTGAAGATATGTGCGGGGCAGCCACTCATAGGCGACGGATATAATCAATTGCCAGTCCGATGTACGCTAGGCATTAGGGTCCCTTGTCATCCTGAACTTTTTTTCTTCTTCTTAATTACTTCAGTTTTCATTAAATCCACACTTTAGTACCACAAACTCTGCCCGATCATCTCCTGCACTAGCTCCGCTCTGATCACAAGCCGCTGATTGGTCAGAGCGCAGCCGAGCCCCTTTGTGCACGTGCATGAGAGCCACACACGCGTATTTGGCGCGAAGCATCATGGGAGCTCATCCACTGCGCAGAACCAGGAGGACCAGACGACGCCCAAATATGGGCAAGTTCTGCTAATCTTTCGGTGCCCATGGTGGCAATTGCCCACTGAGCACAAGCCATTGATTTGAATAGGACGCCATCTTGGATCACCGGGGCTTTGTCTGAGTCTGTGTGTGCCTTGATTGGAACAGCAAAGGTAAGCCAGAAGACTAATAAAATGTTATTCTTTTGTTTTGTGTTTTCTGTATATATGTTCACTCTCACTGTTCTATTGTACAGCACCTCTTTACAATAATTCGAAAAAAGTAAATCGTTTTTTCACTGCCGTCAAGAAACCCAATCACAAGTCCATCTTCTAAGTATTCATATCATTCCATGAGCTAATTTACCCACAAAAGTAGAGAGATTGAAACGCTGACATATACCAGGCCATTTGAATAATTTGCATTGCTGTCTATCAAATCCCAATCTCCACTCTGAATCCTTAAAGCTGCTGCCAACTTTTGTTCTCATCACTAATAACAACAAATTGTCTCAGCAGAAAAGTCCTCTAAAAGTAACATTTTATACACAAACACCACACCCGGCTGCCTTCATAGAAAACATGTCATTTTTTGCGTGGTTGAGAGAAAGAGCCCTGTGAGTGCATTGGTACTTTTGGGCTGAGGGCTGAGGGTGGTCCTCTTTTTCCACCTTTCAGTCTGAAAATCCATCCATCTATCCATTTTCTTCTGCTTCATCCATTCATCCATTGTCGTGTCGCAGATTTTCAGTCTGAAAATCGGTTCTAAATATGCAAAAAACACATTCATGGGACAAGTAGTGATAGAAACGATTCGGGTTGCTTTCAACTTGATGTAATATTTAATCTCTATTGGACTGGTAATTTAATACATAAATTCAATAATTCATCAAACATTAAACATTCCACATCTGATTGAAGAATTACAACATTGTCATTGCAAACCAACAGAGCCATATGCTATTGTGCATCAGGAAAGTCTTAATTCACATTTGTCATTTTTATTTCTTCAAAGCCACAGTATTACCATGATAGTAGTGTCCATCAGCTCTACTCTGATGTCCTTCAAATACCACTTTATCTATTAATATATTTTCAATTAGAGTGGCTCTAACAGACATGTGTGTACATGCCTTCTTCCCTTGCCATTTGCCTCTCCCCTCTTTGCACCCCGTCTCTTTAAGATTAAATACTATCTCCCTCCCAGACATGACAAGCAGTTTATTGCTCTCGCAGGCATTAAGATTAAAACATATAAAACGATTCTACTTTTTCGGAGACTTCGCTTTGCTGGTGCCTGTCGAGTCTCCTCCGGATTTAATTGGCCCTATAAATAAACCGTTCTGCTTGCGAAAAAGGCAGCGGAACGGAAGGGAACACACACATATGCACAACAGATGAAAAAGATGGGGAGATGCAGCGGGTACAAAGCGATCGAGATGACAGGAATCAGACAAAAGAGTGCGAGAAAGTGGAGTTTTGGATTAGCACAATTGATGAATGCCATTTGCTTATGTAGTCCTGGGTGTGGACTTCGTTATAACAAGTGCGTGAGGCAGGGGTGGGGGAGACGGAGGTGAAAGGCAAAAACAGATGCGAAAAAGAGAAAAGGGCCGAGTTGCAGAACGAGGGAAGTGCTAAGACAAGGAGTTAAGG